CCAGCCGGTAACTCAGAACCACGCAGCTGCTCGCTCACTCCCCTCCCTTTTCCTCCTCCCTTTCCCGAAAGGAATCAGGAGGAGAATTGAAAGAATGTAACTCCCACGGGTTGAGATAACAGCACTCCAGTAACTAAGGTATAATACAAACCACTGCTACTACCAATAATAATGATAAGGGAAATAACAAGGGGAGAGGACACAACCGCTCACCACCCGCCGACCGATACCCAGCCCGACCCGAGCAGCGATCTGGGCCTTCCGGGTGACTCCCCCCAGTTTCTATCCTGGCCATGACGTGCTGTGGTGTGGAATAGCCCTTTGGGCAGTTTGGGTCAGGGGTCCTGTCTCTGCTTCCTCCCGGCTTCCCCTCCTCCCTGGCAGAGCATGAGACTGAGAAAGTCCTTGGTCGGAGTAAACATCACTGAGCAACAACTAAAACCATCGGTGTTAACATCAGCGTTGTTCCCAGGCTGAAAGTCAAAACCACAGCCCTGCACCAGCTACTAAGGAGGAGAAAAATGACTGCTGGAGCTGAACCCAGGGCAAGGCCCCAGATGTTATTTCTGCACGTCTGCTTTGAAGGCCAATCCGGTATGGATGGGCAGTATCTGTCATTAACTTCCTTTATTCTTGGAAGTATTAAACAAGTAAATAGCCTCGTGTTCAAGGAAATAAAGGTGTTATGATTTTGTTAAACCACTTGGTCTTCAGTTAGACTTACCTTCTTCGGCATCTTTTGAATCAGGTGATGCAGTAGAAGGGTTGCTGAAATTATGGTTCAGCTCAGTTGTCTGCTGAATGGGGCTGAAGTTCTTTGTGGTACTGTCCTGCTTCACCATGGGTGATGTCAGAGCGATGCTGGTGGTGAACAACGTGGTGGGGTTGATTGAAGAGTTATCACTGGGGAGCACCACAGCTGAAGGGGTGCTGTAGGTGACTGTGGAGTTACTTGATGTCTCTGTGGATATAGAAGTAGCTGCAGCACTTCTGGTCAGTCGAGGAAAGTCACCTGTTGTAAATGTCGCTAAAGGTACTGGGATACTGTTGAAGGTTGTGGCAGAGTTTATTCCATCTTTAGATACTCCAGTTGCACTTGAAGATAAAGTAATGCCATCAGTGGACCTCGGGGGTGTGCTGTTTGGCTCCCTGCTCATCTCTGTTCTTTCTGTTTCGTTTTCTTCAGTGTTGGCCATTGTTGGTGCAGCATGACTGACGGTGGAAGGATTCATGGCAGTAGTCGTAGTCAGAACCAATCTCCGTGAAGTTGATTGAGCTTTAGACTGATTGTTATCTGTAATTGAGCCATTTCTATCACTTGCTCCATTTAGTTTTGCACCCTCAATATTGCTTTTGTTACATTGCAGCCTTACAAGCAGAAAAATGAAAATCATGCCAACAGGAAAGTTGTATGGTATTGACTTCAAAGTTTGCTATATGCAGAATCTGCAAGAAATTCACTTTTGTTCACGGTTTTATTTTGCAAAACAAAGCTATTTTTATCAAATAAGCTAGTAAAAAAAGTTAGTGTTATACTATAGAAATCTCACTAGTTTACCATGTGTTGATGCTGAAAACTTTACATCCGTGAGTGTTAATGACCAAGAGAATGACCTAAAGCAATATTGATGATCAACAAAAGCTTTTTGCACAAGAACATTTCATGGTTCTGTAAACAGGCCTTGTACTCAGAGGGGAATGATTCAAAACCACTTTGCTATAGAGTAAGGTAATGATAGTACGTTTGTGTAGCACACTCAAGGCAATGCCTTCTAGGCAGGCAGCAATTCCAAGAGCATGCTAAAGAGTTATGCTCTGTTGTGAAGAAATGTAATTGTTACAATTAGCCCTGAGCTGATGGGGATTGTTTTGTGACCCTGAGCAGTGAGTGTCATCTGAATGCTATCAGGAGCAAACTGACAATTGAATCAGCCCAGGGGTTATGGATGATGCTGAATTTGTGGGGGAACTTCTTTTCCTGTAGGAGACTGGAGGCTGTGTATTATGCATTATCTTTTCAAATGTTAGATTGATGAGAATGAGGAAAAACTCGTCTTGAAGTTACACAATTGTAGCAGGTATGCTGTTCAGTGTACCCATGGGGTTTTGGCAAGGATGGGTGTGTTTTCTCTACAGATGAAAAAGTATGTCGTAAACTTTATGTGGCAAACAGTGACATGATGAGCATATTATTAATAGCACGTCTTTGTTTCTTGTGGTCTTAAGTAACATGTTCATATTTGCAGAGCTTTCATACTTTTTATGCTTCTCAATTCAGTGAGCAAGGAATATTAAATTTTCAAGCTTAAATGTATTTAAATTTTTGTACTGAGAAAATAATTCATGACTTTTTAGTGAATTATGAAGAGGAATATATATATGAATAATAATCTATGATTAATTTAATTTTCTCCTCTTACTAGCTAGCAGTGTGACAAGTATAAGTGCACTGGCCAAGCTTCTGAAGTGTGTGTTTCCTGTTCATTATCAGTGTAACTAAACTCAGCAGAAGCAGTAACAATGCAGCAGTACCTTTTTTAAAGAAGTTTGGTATAAAGTAGCATACAGAGAATATATTCTTCCCTTCACCATTCCCACCATTTAAAATGGGCTCCGAACTGACACTGAGAGAAGTCCCGTGCTTGCTTCATAAGGAGCATAAATACCCACTAAAGTATGAATTTGAGTGAAATACTGTATTTATGGTTGCTGCTTCTCTGCTTTAACAGTTGAATTTTAAAAAAGGGGGAAGGGGAAATTAAAAAATTATTTTCTCAGAAACTACTCTAAATAGAATTTGGCTACAACAGCACTGACTGCTTTCCTGAACACTATATAAAAGAATATATAAGATATTAATCAGATCCACTAATAAGCATAAAAACTCCCCCTCATACTTACCTTTGAGCTCTATGAAACACGCAAGAGAAACCTGTTGAAATCCTGCTATGGCCCAAAGTGCAATTAGTCTGGTGGGAAGAAGGGAGTGCAGGGACAATAAACGTGGCAGCATTTCAGGGGTGAGAAACATGCAATCTGGGTGAGGTGAGGTGGGGCAGCCCTTCCCTGTACACGTCTGGGAACCAGCCGCACCAACTTGGCCTCTGTCATCACCCAGCTCTGTCATTACAGAGTTCACAGCAATTGCAGTATTTAGGGTAAAGTGGGGAGGCAGTGCTTATTGCTTAATCCATCAGAAGCCTTTGAGCTGATATTTTGGATGGGTGGCTGTTTTCTGTAAACTGTAGAAACTATTGTTCCATGTGCCATGCATCTATTAAATTAAGAGAAGATAGTTTCTTATTGTTGCAGATTCCTGTGGTACACTGTGTGACATGAAAACTGAAGAGGCCTGTCTTCTACAAAATGAAGTTCTGAGTTCTGTTAAGAAAACCATGCTGCTAGAAATGGCTCTGATCCCATCTCCAAATACGTTCCCAGTTGCAATAATTTTAGATAGTCCAAATCCAAATGTTCTGAATGTATCAGATGTCATTAATTTTTAATTTGGAATACTTAACCAACAACCTGTTACAACTCTTACTCCTCACTTTACGTTTAATATGAACAATACTGGATTAAAAGTATTGTTATATAAAGTAATTAAGTAAGTACATAAAGTAAGAATGAGGAAGTCAGGCATATGATATGTGACATAATATGCTGATCTAGTCAACCCGTGGTTTTTTTTCGTTATTCTTTAATGCTTTATGCACATTTATTTTAGGCAGGTACGTGGTTGAAGAGTGACTCAAAAGTGTTTTAGTATTGTGTGACTGTTTGAGTGGAATGCCATGATGTTGTTCTCTATTTCTCCTTTAAATTTTTAAGGAATCAAGTGCAACTACTATTTCATAACTTATCCTTGAGATAAGTGTTGAGGATATGTCCTATACAGGAGGTGTTTATATAGGACCAATTAGTGGTGTTTTCTTGAAAATACTGCAGTGGACAAGTGGAAGATTTTCTGAGAAATGGATCAAGTTCTACCCTTTCTAATATTCTTTTTCAGAAAGTGGATTATTTCTGTGGTATGAGGTTGGGTGGTCTGTGAGAGGAGGGAGGACAGAGTCTGGTACCAGTGGGTTTGGCTTTCTTTGGAATTTAGAATCTCTGCAGTGTCTGACAAGCTTCCTATTCCTATTTATTGCTGTGTTTGCACGGTTACGCATCTAACAGATTGACCATGCGATCTGAAAACATGCACCACAGATTTGATTTCAGATTTGCACCTTAGGCAGCATTAACCGAATGACAAGCAATATACTTGGGTCAACAGTGTACTTCACACCAGCATGCACCCCCACTGGAGTACTATGTCCAGGTCTGGAGTCCTCAGTACAGGAAAGACATAGACGTGATGGAGAGGGTCCAGAGAAGGGCCACAGAAATGATCAGAAGGTTGGAGCACCTCTTCTATGAGGAAAGGCTGAGAGAGTTGGGGTTGTTCAGCCTGGAGAAGAGAAGGCTCCGGGGAGACCTTATTGTGGCCTTTCAGTTCTTAAAAGGGGCCTATAAGAAAGATGGGTAGAGACTTTTTAGCAGGGCCTGTTGTGGTAGGAGGAGTGGTGATGGTTTTAAACTAAAAGAGGGGAGATTCAGGCTGGAGGCGAGGAAGAAGTTCTTTACAATGAGGGTGGTAAAATACTGGCAAAGTTTGCTCAAAGTGGTGATAGATGCACCATCCCTGGAGACATTCAAGGCCAGGCTGAATGTGGTTCTGAGCAACCTGATCTAGTTGAAGATGTCCCTGGTCATTGCAGGGGGGTTGGACTGGATGATCTTTGAAGGTACTTTCCAACCCAAACTATTCTACAATTATGTTCTATGATTCTATGCACACATTAGGGTGCTGAGAAGCCTTTCTGATAGTTTTTTACAATGAAAGGTTATTTGAATAGATATATAATATCTATTAGTTAATACAGTGCTCTGTTTGTGACTCAGTTCTTGGCTCAGTGTCATACACCTGCAGCGTGGTGCCAGGATGCTGGCACTGAGTGCTAGCCTGCTGTTCCTGGAAGGCAAAACTTCCAGCAGTGAGCCCGAGTGTGAACAGACTCAGAGCTGTGGCCATATGGTTCAGAGTACTCCAGGAGTGGGAGATGAGACTAACCTGTCATTCAGCTATATATTTATTAAGCAGCAGTTTCAATTCTGAAGAGTGTGTCTCAGTAGGTACCAGATCTGTAGGACTTTTTTATTTTGTTGCTTTGCTGCAAAGTAGTCCAACTGAATAAACCTGAGCAAGTAATTGAGCAGAGTATTCAGAAGGGGGCCTGGCTGGCCATGGCCAAACTTGGTGGAGAGTTTGCCTACTGAAAACCCTCAAGTTGCACCTGGGGAGGTTTAGATTGGCTATTAGGAAAAATTTCTTCACCAAAAGGGTGCCAAGCATTGGAATAGGCTGCCCCGGGAAGTGATGGAGTCACCATTCCTGGAGGTATTTAAAAGACAAGTAGATGTGGTGCGTAGGGACATGGTTTAGTGGTGGACTTAGCAATGTTGGGTTAACCTTTGCACTCGATGATCTTAAAGGTCTTTTCCAACTTAAATGATTCTGTGATTCTATGATTTTAGTTCTTCATCAGTGCAAGTAATGGCAGTGTAAAGGCAGTATAAATAAAGGAACTTAAGAATTTAAAGAATTTTTTGGAAGCGTACAATGGACAGAACTGCATTGCAGAGCACCGAATAACAAATCCCTAAATGAGTGATTCTATGCCGAAATGCTGGACCATAAAAGGAAGTACACCGTGTATTATGGGATTTAAAATTCAGAACAGCAGTCGGAGCTGTTCCTGGAAAAAAGCGGGGGAAGCACCAGATGATGTTTTCTGTAGGAAACTGGAGGCCTGTGTGTGACCCTGTAAACTGTAAATCATCCAGAACTCTTGAGCGGCAGGATTAGGCAGAAACAAACTCTGCTAGGTCAAAGCACTGTTAGAACATGCATGTTCTCATCTTGAGGTTCAAATTATTGAATTAGTCATCTATTGTATGTCTTGTTTTTCTACAGCAATATTTGATAAAAGACAAAGCTTAGCATTTTCAGAGCTGGGAGATCAGAGTAAAGAGTCAGTAGAAGTGCCTAGCAGCTAGCACCAGGGGGTTCGACTGCATGGAGAGCAGTCAGAGATGGGTGGTGTTAGCCTTGATTTTACTCACAACAGACAGAATAAAATCTATCACTCTATTGAGAGAGAGTAAAATCAAGGCAAGCCAGGAACGA